AAAAAATTGTATGTTTGACAAGTGATATTTCGCATTGTAGAGTGTTGTGTGTGAATACAGATAGGACTCGTGCCATAGCATGGGAATGTGAACGTATCTATGACATACAAGCTGTAGACAAGTTATTTTAATGTTCATATATTAAATCTATAAGAACGGTTAATTTTGTAATTTATAAGTATTATTGTTGTTAGATTTATTAACCTATTAAATTGGTTAATCTGTAAAAAAATTTTAGAATCTAAAAAAATATAGTTGAGAATTAAAACTTATACTTATTCTAAAAAGGTTCAAATTTGATTTAAATAACCCCATCCCACTATTATTTAATGAAATATTAACTACTTATTTAATCTATAACAATATATAAAGGTAAAACACAATTTTGGTGTAACCTTTTTTACTTCCAATTTTGCCCATAATAAATTGATTCTTTTACACTATTTTTTTATTGTTAATAGATTAGTAAGTTATTATTCATCATCTTTAGTAACAAATAATTTATTAACTAAATTAATTAAATAAAAAATAATAATTAAAAAAATAGTAGTAACTTCTAAAAATAATTGACTCCATTACTAAATTAACTAAATTAATTAAATAAGAAATAATAATAAAAAAATAGTAGTAGTTCTATAAATAATTAACAGTTTTATAACCCACTAATTCTATTACTGAATGAAATAGAAGCATATAACAACTTTCATACTTAATTAAATAAGAAATGATAATAAAAAAGTAGTAGTAACTTCTGAAAATGATTAACTGCTTTATAACCCACTAATTTCATTACTGAATGAAATAGAAGCATATAACAACTTCCGTACTTAACTAATATTACTATATTTAATTATATATTTAATTGTTTTAATTTTGAAGATTTATAATCTATTTTATTTATGACTAAATTTATCCAAAGCTTTTTCTTAATAAAACTGAATGATAATGATTATAAAGTCTGTATACTCTAAGTTTTGATAAATTACATACTTAAAATAATCACAATTATATATTATCTTTTAAATATTTAAATAATTACTGATCATTATTATCAATAATTTTTCTCATACAATTTAATGGATTGTACGGATAAGTGAATTATAATTGCCTAAAAAAAATTCATTGGAGTTCTTAAAATACAGTTTTTTAAAATATGATTAACCAATATTTTATTTTATTTTAAAAACAATTTTTTAAAATAAATTATAAAATAATTTTAAAATTTTGAAAAATCTCAGTCAAATCTAAATCATCTATTACTTAAAATCCAACGATAGAGGATAAGCAGTTTTTTCATTTCCCGCTCAGAATGATATATAAATACCCCTTTCATCTTCTACTTTTTCACATTCAAAATTCAAAAGAATAAACAGTTTCTCAAAATTTCTTACAAAAATGGCAGGTCGTAGAAAGGGTATTGGGGCTCGGAAAGGAAGGAGCAAAGAGGCACAGGATGATTATGCGCGACAATATTTGGGGAATTATAAAGCCAGCGATTCGTAGATTGGCAAGGAGAGGAGATGTGAAGAGGATAAATGGTTTGATCTACGAAGAAACTAGGTTATTTGTCAAGGTTTTCTTGACAAAAATCATTCATGATGTTGCTTCATATACTGATCATGCAAGAAGGAAGGTTGTGACTGCCATGGATGTTGTGTATACTCTTAAGAGACAAGGAAGAACATTATATGGTTTGGGAGGTTGAAGAAGATACTCTCTTTTATTTATTATTATGTTATCTTTTTATCGTCTAAGTTATGTAATTTATATTTCTGTTTCTGCATTTTAAAAAAAGTTTATATCTAATAGTCGGTGATTATATAATGATCACCGTCTAAGTTATGTAATTGTATCTGTATTTTTAAAAATGTTTATTTTCAAGTATTAGTTGATGATTATGCAATGATAATGACTAAATACTACAATATATTGTTTCTATTGTATGGTTTGTGGACAAAATTACAATATATATGCATTATACTAAATTTATGATGATTTTAGTTAAGTTAAATATAACTTTTATAATTATAGATAAACTGAATATGAGTCGTTGGTTATTTTTGTTCTTTAACCATCATTAACTTCCACTAAGAAAAACTTATGGAAACTTTAACACATATAAATCTTCTTTGCATGACGATTTTTGAAGAGTGTTTGCTGGTGATCATACTTAGAAAACAAATTAATTAATTTTTTTCATTATAGTTTGTTAAAAATGAATTTACACGTATGTATGTATTTTAATTGGTGACCAGTTTTGTTAAGTTACATTTATAATTATTTTGATGTATTATCCACAAGGTTTTGTCTTATTTAGAAGTCATGCGTAGAAAATATTATTGTTAGATTTCAAATTATTTTCCTTTCAGAGATGATTTTTCACCATTTACATAGGGATTGTTATTCAACTGTTTTTGAATTAATTTATTGATGGAGGTATTATTATTATTAGAATTTAATTGGTATGCACTAAACAATGCAAACTTTTAAAAACCGCTCTATTATGCATGTTGTGCCACGTATTGATTTTTTTAGAGATAATAAAGAGGATGACATAGTCAGGATGCCTGCTGAAATTGTAATATCATACATTTCCCCAATTAGAAAATCATGGGTGAGATGCTTCATATATGATGGAGAGAGTCATACTTAGTCCTAAAAATTATGATGTACATATGTTGAATGACAAGATTATTAATAAATTCTCTGGAGATGAACATATTTTGTTATCTTTTGATGAGGTTGATGGTGATACTCATAACCTATATCAACAGGAATACTTACACACAACTGCTCCTGGTACTTTACCACCACATATTTTAAAGATGAAAATAGGGGGTCCACTAATGTTGATGCGAAACATAGACCCTAAATTTGGGTTGTGTAATGGTACAAGGTTGTTATGTCGTGGTTTTTATGAATTTGCTTGATGTTGAAATACTTACTGGCCACAACGTTGGAAAAAAAGCTTTATTGCCAAGAATTAAGCTCAAAACCACAGAAGGCGCGAGACTTTCTTTTGTGCTTATTAGAAAATAGTTTTCTGTCAAACTAAGCTTTGCAATCACTATAAACAAATCACAAGGACAAACAATTGCAAATGTTAGAATTTATCTTTCACGACATGTTTTCAGTCACAACAATTGTACGTTGCTTTATCAAGAGGTGTTTCGCGTGCTGCCACAAGAGTGCTAATTAAAGACGGAAAAGTAGATGGGGGAGAATGGGTGTTTACCAAAAATAAAGTTTTTAAAAAAAAATTATTTTCACAAACTCAAGTATTTATCTATTATATTTAAACGTTCAACTATACTTTTGCAAAGTCACACTTGGCGTGCACTCATTAGACTACACTATATTGTTGACTACTAAAATTTACTTCATTTTTTTGCAGTAAAACAAGAGATATTTTTTATTTCGATTTTATGGTTGACCTGTTCTGGCCTGGGCCCCGACCTCAACTCGCGGCTCAGCCCAATGATACACAATAAAGGCCCAACATGGTTTAAGTAGGACGCCCGGGCACGTGACCCCTCGACGGGCAGGGCATGCTCCCGCCGAGGAGAACAGCGTGCCTTGGGACACACCCTGTGCTCTCCCCTTCGCGGGAAGGCGCTGCCAATCACTGCCCCTCGTCGGGCGGAACAGCCCTCCGCGGGCAGAATTCCCATATCGTCGAGCAGGACAACGTGTCTCTCCCGCGTCCTCATGTGCTCCCCTCCGCGGGGAGAACGACACACCTCCGGGGAACCTCGCGAGCTCCCCTCCGCGGGGAGAACAACGTGCCATGCGCACGTTCTCCACGTGCTCCCCTCCGCGGGGACACGTCACCAGCCAACTGCCCACCTCCGAAAGAGCATGTCAAACCCATTTTCCGGAGACCACGAGACAGTTGGACTAGGGCGAAGACCACGTCCTGGTCTTCACTACGTCACGTAAGCTCTAGCAGTCACCTGGGTTGGGCCTGGCCATCCAGCCCAACACAAGTGACCGTTGGCCCAGCGCTGAGGTCTCTCTATAAATACCCTCTTCCACAAGAGGGTCAGGTAATTCACTTCTTACCCCTTTTTCTGTGCTTGTGACCACTCTGTCCATATACTTACTTTGTCATCAAAGTGCCTTGCAGGTACACCCCCTTCTCCTCCTCATCACCGGTGAACGGGCAGCAGTCCAACAGAGTGTGGTCAGCTAATGATCCCCTTCTGATCAGTTCAGATCAGTTGACCTTCCTATTTTTTTTTCTTATTTTATTTAAATCTTCGTATGATTTTGTACAATCTATAACAATACATAAATACAAAATTTAATTTTGGTGTAACCTATTTTCTTTTTCCTTAATACGGTATTCGTAACCATCAAATTATTCTTCTCACATTATTGATTTGCTTGAAAAAAACTAGTTAAATATAGTCACGTCACTATGCGATTTTCTCAATTCAAACAAAATTTAATACATGAATATTACATATTGCAAATAAAACTTAATATGTATATGAATAAATACAATATATTTCGTCATATAAATATTTTATATTAAAATCAAACTTATAAAAAAAACGTTGTCAATATTTTCACGCGTTAAAAGGCGGACAAACGTTTAAACGCTAATTTATATAAATCAAAATATTAAAACATTAACTACGTATTTAATATTTTAAATTATTAAAAATTAAAATAATAAAACACATAATAAAAATAAAATAAATTAGATTTATAAACGAGTTCAAGGTGAATCTAATTAAAACTACACAATCACAACTTTGACCGTCTTTTTGACACGTGTATCTCACAGAGCTGGTAGTTGATCGGCAAAGTCAAAATTTCATTTTCACACACCCAAACTCACTTGGGAAACCCCACACGAAACTATCTCAAAAGCTCTTCCTTTGATTCATCCATTCCCTATGTCACTATAAACTAATCTCGTTTTCATTTCCTTTGATCCAAAGAGCTCTTCCTTGATTCAAAAAGAACAATCTTTTGATCGATTCATCTCTTAGATGGCATCAGTTAAGGTTGATTTTGAGGTTGGAAATGATGGGGTTGCTGTTATCACCATGTGTAATCCACCTGTTAATGCTTTAGCTCTTCCAAGTCAGTTTTCTTTCATCAATTCTTCACACTTTTTTGTAAATTATACTTCTTGTCGGTTAACTTATGTAAAATTTTCATGTTTTTGTTGTTTGGTTTGATTAGTTATTAGGGCGTTGAAATATAAATTCGATGAAGCCGCGAGGAGGAATGATGTAAAAGCTATCGTTTTGACTGGTAATTTTCTTTCGATTGATTAAAGTTATGTTTATGTTCATGATTTTTTTATGATTATGTTGGATTGGATCACCAATACCATTTGAAATTTGTAATTGGTTTATTCTCTCCTTCCTTGAATTCAGGCAAAGGTGGGAGATTTTCTGGAGGGTTTGACATCAGTGTTATGCAGAAAGTTCACCAAACCGGTGAGTTGTATTCTATGAAGCAAAAACACCGACGCCGACACTGACAGTGATACTGGTATTTGAAAAAATAAATTAACTAAACTTAATCACAAGTGTCGGTGTCGGGGTGTTGGACTAGGACACATGCACACCTTTTTTCATAGATGGTGGTGTTGCAGAGGTTGTATTATTATAAGGGATATTTGGATTGACTTATTTGTGTTTTATGAATCTGTTTGAGAGAGCTTATGGAAACAGTTTATGACATGTTTTTAAGTTGTTTTCTTTTGAGCTTATTCCACAAGCTTTCCATGCTAGCCTGTGAAAACATCTTATAGCTTTTGTGAAAACAATTTGACTTTATTTTATCTTTTGTTATAAAAATAAATACGAAGTTTAGCTGAATTATGGTTATGAGTCTTGACATTTCTGTTTTTTTTTTCTTGGTAGGTGATATTACACTTGTTCCTGATGTATCTGTGGAGCTAGTTGTCAACTCAATTGAAGGTTATAACTGATCTTTAACTTTCCTTGATGTTTCTTTTAGAGTGATTGTGGCATGTTGCAACGTTGTCGCTAAATAATATTGATTTTTTTTTAATTTTATATAATTATAGATTCGAAGAAGCCTATCGTTGCAGCAGTAGAGGGACTTGCTCTTGGAGGTGGATTAGAATTGGCCATGGTTAGTTTTTTTTCTTCTGTTGAGAGTGCATGCTTTTCGATCAAATGAGAATTGTCCACAAGTGTCATCCTTATTGCATGGAGGGAATGTTTAGGGTGCACCTGTTTGTTATGTAACACACTGTCATTGTATAGGGATGTCATGCACGTGTTGCTGCTCCGAAAGCTCAACTGGGCCTGCCAGAGCTGACACTTGGTATTATTCCCGGATTCGGAGGTAATCAAAATCTGCATGCTGTGGTGTTTGGTAATCTAGATTTGGAGTAAGAAACTTTTCATGTTTTTGTATCACTCATTGAAATATTGACAAAAATTGTTGATTTACAAGGTACGCAGCGTCTTCCAAGGCTTGTTGGAACGTCTAAAGCAGTTGAAATGATGCTGGTAAGATGCAAACCATTTATTTCTAGTCGATTATCATACATGTGAATTTCTTTGGTATTTCTTTTTGCCTTTGTGGTGCAATGCAATAAACATATTTTAAACTTGCATTTCTCAGACATCTAAACCAATCACGTCAGAAGAAGGGCAGAAACTAGGACTTATTGATGCTATTGTATCTTCTGAGGAGTTACTCAAGGTATCTAAGCTATGGGCTCTTGAAATTGCCGACAAGCGCAAACCTTGGGTTCGTTCACTTCATAGGACAGACAAACTTGGTTCCGACGCACGTGAGGTGTTGGCAACTGCCAGACAACGTGTCAAGAAAACTGCTCCGCATTTGCCTCAGCAACAAGCTTGCGTGGATGTGATTGAACATGGGATACTTCATGGAGGTTACAGTGGAGTTTTAAAGGTACTGTTAGTTCTTTATGATCGTCTTTAGTTTCAGGGAGCTAGAGTTTTAAACCTTAGCATTGCAAGTTTCTTGCTACATGTTTCGTGTAACTTATGATCAAATTAATTGCAGGAAGCTGAAGTATTCAAGAAACTAGTCCTGTCTGAAACCGCAAAAGGTTTAATTCATGTCTTCTTTGCTCAGCGCACAATATCGAAGGTACGACGCTAGATATCACCTGTTATAGTAATAGTTATTATTGTTGAAACATTTGTTAAAGAAAAGTTTCATATGGTTGGTTTAGTACTTCAGTGTTTAAAATGGATTTTCTCATCTTTTCACTGCTGAATGTGATAAAAAAAACCGATGTGAATTTACTCTGTTTTATTTTTAATGTGTTCACTGACTTTCTCTTTTGGCAGGTTCCTGGCGTAACTGATATTGGACTTAAGCCAAGAAATGTGAGAAAAGCGGCTGTGATTGGGGGAGGTCTAATGGGTTCTGGCATTGCTACCGCACTTATACTAGGCAATATTCGTGTTATACTCAAGGAAATCAATTCTGAATATCTTCAGAAGGGATTAAAAACGATAGAAGGTGATATTTTCATTCATGTGATGTGACTATAGTAGGAATGATTGGATACACAAGTCTAATTGATAATTAATCAGTGTTACAAATAAGTTTTTGTCAACTTTTTTCTCAATTCTTGTAAACCAGACTCATCCTTAATTTGTACGGCTTTATGCTATAATAACGTGTTAAATATATTTTTGTTTCCTTTTGTATGATAGCAAATGTCCGCAGTTTAGTAACAAGAAAAAAGCTAACTCAACAGAAGGCAGAGGGAGCTCTCTCATTGCTTAAAGGTGTTCTTGATTACACAGAATTTAAAGATGTGGACATGGTCATTGAGGTTGGTTTCCCAAAATCTCTATGTTTAACTTGGTAAATAGTTAGCACTGTATCGAACATTGGAATTTTAATCCTTTAAAAAAATTTCAAACTAATTTTGTCATACACTTTTCCTCTTAAGTCCATTTTTGTTGGCTGGTGATATGTAGCACCGACATTTCAGATTGAACTGCGTGTCTAGTGTCGGACATCGACACGTGTGGTTACATTTAGACATTTCAGTCTCAAGTTGTTACCAGTCTTGATGTGTCGGTTCCAGTGTCGTGTCCGGTGGTTGTGTTTGTTTATGAATGAGGGACATATGTAACATTTCTTTGTTGAGACTATTAGAAGCTAATTAGTAGTAATGTTCTCTCTTTGCAGGCTGTAATTGAAAAAATCAGTCTTAAACAAGAAATATTTAGTGATCTTGAGAAGATATGTCCCCCACATTGTATTTTGGCATCAAACACGTCTACGATTGACCTTAACGTTATTGGTGAGAAGATAAGCTCTCAAGACCGTGTTATCGGTGCTCATTTTTTCAGGTTATTATTTTTCTCATTACTCTTGTTTCAGTTTCTTCTTAAACCGAAAAAGAAAATTATACACATTCACACGCACGGGTTGTAAGAATAAAGATCCTGTTGTAAATAACGTTTTGAAAATGGACAATGGATGCTTTCTGATGTTGCTTCTTGATTTGCAGTCCTGCTCACATTATGCCTCTTTTGGAAATTGTTCGAACAAATAAAACTTCTGCACAAGTTATTCTTGATCTGATCGCAGTTGGTAAAGTCATACAAAAGTCTCCTGTTGTGGTCGGTAACTGCACTGGCTTTGCCGTGAACAGAACGTTCTTCCCATATGCACAAGGTGCCCATTTGTTGATCCACTTAGGCGTCGATGTTTTCAGAATCGACAGATTGATAACCAACTTTGGCCTTCCCATGGGTCCTCTCCAGTAATTCTCTTCTCTTAGTGGTTTTGTATTTTCATGACACTGTCCATTAAAATATTAACCTCTCCCCTACTCTCAAAAATCATTTCCGATAGATGATTTTTTATTTATTTAATAAAAATGATTGTCATTATGGTAAACAAACTTTTTATGGCTTGCAGGCTTCAGGACCTAGCCGGCTACGGAGTTGCTGTAGCAGTTGGAGAAGAATTTGCCGGTGCATTTCCTGACCGCACATTCAAAAGTCCACTGGTTGATCTTTTGATCAAAAACGGGCGAAATGGTAACACTTGATCATTGCCATTACCCTTTAAACAAAAATAAAATTGGCTTTTTTTTTTGTTCTGAAGGCTTTTACTCGTGCAAGTAACTAATGCTTTCTGTCTTTGGCTATAACTTATATCCTATCAGGAAAAAATAATGGGAAAGGTTACTACATTTACGAAAAGGGTAGCAAACCAAAACCCGACCCTTCAGTACTACCAATCATTGAGGAGTCTAGAAGAATTTGCAATCTTACTCCCAATGGAAAGGTGCTTCTATTTTCTAGTCACATATAATTCCTATTTGGATTGACTTGTTTCATTTTGTGCTCTTATTTACCGGCATAACATTCGTGAGACTGTTTTGAAAAAGTTATTGAAACAACTTATGACATCTCCCTTGATTTTCAGCTTATTTCCGCAAGCTCTGTAGGCTAGCTTATGAAAACAACCAATCTTACATGAAAACCGTTTTACGTTATTTTATATTTTGTTATAGAAATAACTTGTACATGCACTTATATGATAAGTGCTTATACTATAAACGGTTAGTTAAGTTGCTTATCCAAAAAAAGGGGTCATAAACATTTCATTGAAACTTATGTTGTTGCCTTTTGATGCGATGTTTTGATCAGCGAGGCAAATAAAACTCATATTTTGTTGCTTTTGCAGCCTGTATCTGTCTCTGACCGAGAGATTGTGGAGATGGTACTCTTTCCAATAGTGAATGAGGCTTGTCGTGTTTTAGAAGAAGGAGTTGTAATTCGAGCATCTGACCTCGACATTGCATCTGTTCTTGGAATGAGCTTCCCAAGTTATCGGTAGGTTCCACTTCCCTTCTTTTAAAGACTAAGGACGATCTTGAGGATAATTTACAGAGTTCGATGATTAACTTGTGTCTCTTGCAATCGATTTTTTGTGGCAGGGGTGGCATTGTTTTCTGGGCTGATCTGGTTGGGGCTAAGCATATATATAGCAGCCTTAAGAAATGGACACAATTATATGGTAACTTTTATAAACCATCAAGGTATTTGGAAGAAAGAGCAGCAAAAGGCATTCCTTTGGTAAGATAAAAATGTTCTTTACTATTATCTCCGCTGTGCACGAAATCATCTCTTAAAACAAAGTTGTGTCTGAAGAGATTCGAACACCGTCGACACGTTATGAACACACACATATACATGTGATTAATTAATGATCAGTAATAGCATGTTTGACATTGTTTTTTCTATTGCCTGCAGAGTGCACCTGCTTCTTCTAACCCAACATCGAAGGCGCGCCTGTGAGAAAGTGAGAAGGAAATGATCTTACAAAGTTGTCCTCAAGTTGGATGTTTTGTTCCTTCCATGTTTAATTAATAAATAAAATTATATTTCCTTATATTATACATTCCCACAGTTAACAGGAAAATAAATGTTTTTTTGGGTTCATAAGGTTTATGGTTTTCTTGTTACATTTTGAAAATGCATGGTTAGTTCAAAGAAGTTATTGAGATTGTTAAAAAGCCTATTGATGAACTCTTGCACAACTTTGGTTTGTGTTCTGATTTTTTCCTCTTGGTCCTCAACATTAATTTTTAAGTGCTACTTTTTTGAAAATTTGTGCGGTTCAAAAGGGTACTTAAGGAAATATGAGATATTTTAGTATTCAAACAATGTGCTCTTACACTTTCACTTGCCATTCCAAAAACTAGTTTGTTGCAAGTCAATTTTTGTCTGCTATGGCCCTTCTCATTGAATGTGCCTTTTTGGCTGTTCTAAACAAAAAAAAGCTTCAGATAACGATGTATCAGGTTTTTTGATAGTGATGTTGGGTCCTTTTTTGGATAAAAAGTTTAGAGGATTTTTTAATGCATCATTTATAGAGCCACCATGTAAAATTATTTAAATATTTTTAGATTTTAGAGATGTATTTTCAGACGCATTAAATTTTACACACTACACATCAGACTCTGAAGCTATTATAAATGTGAATTGGATGGGAGATGCATCTCTATGAATATTTTGGAGATAGACATCTCTAATGTATTAGAACTTGGTCTTTCATGTTATATTTTGTTTATATGTATTCATATGAAAATTTAAGCCATATCATACAATTGAAAATAAAAAAGGGTTAAATATGTTTTTGGTCCCTATAAATATCTCACATTTTATTTTTAGTTCCTATAAAAAAAAGGACATATTTTGGTCCTTACAAAAATTTTATGCATGTCCTTATTTTCTAAAATTTTAAAAGCTATTTAATTAATCCTAAACTTTTAAGTTTTTGAATAATTTTTTTCATACGTATTCAGATTACTATAAAATGTTATTTTATCAAATTATATAATTTTTTAAAATGTGAAAAATTAAATATGAATTTTTTTAATTTTAAAAGATAATGATAAAAGTAATGAAAATCTTGTCTTATAAATCAAATTTTGAGTTTCTTTTTTTTCGAGGAACTTTTTATAGCAATCTAAACATATCTGCAAAATAATCATTCAAAAATATACATTGGTTTAACAGTAAGGACTAAAACTACGTGTATAATTATTTTGTAAAGATCAAAACTCGCTATTCTTTTTATAGGGACCAAAAACAAAATTTAGTATTTTATAGGGACTAAAAACATATTTAACCCAATAATAAATAGACGTAAATAAATTCAGATGGTTCAAAATGCCATATATAAATAAAAGAATAATAAATGTCATACAATCAAGACATATAAAGTAGCATGATGTCAAAATAAAGTAGAGAGCATTGTACTACTACTATATACTATTACATTACTGTGTATGTCTGACTACCTCCTCTGCCATCAATTTCCCCTATCCTTCGGCGCTGTCTCTAATACAACAATGCTCTCGTGCCTCCGTCATGATGGTATCTAGGACCCGCCTCACATCAGATCCATTAGAAAAGATACTTGTGTTAATGTCTTTCTGCACAATCTTCACCATGCGACGACACCAAGGGAAGACATCCTCAGCATGATCGAGTTGTGTCTGCTCCTCCTCTAGTATCTCCTAATGAGTTGGCCTCGACGGATCTCCTAGAGTAGCATGCATCGTGTACGAATGTGATGTTGGTGTAAGCCCTAGAGGCCAATACTTTTTGGTACTTGTATCAGATTATTCGTTTAATAATAAAAGGCATTTCTTTATTATGTTTGTCTTTCAGAATAATAAAGTCCCTAGAATAGTTAGTCTGTTTAATGAAATGTTAAGTGTGACTTAATCATGAGATCCCATTAAACATAAAGACATTATTCTTAAAATATCCGTAGTCAAGCTTTATTGCAAAGTGGGATAACATTAAAAGCATTGAGACTATTATGAAGATAGACTGATGATCACATCTCATGGATCATGGATAAAGAGTTATCAAGTCTTGACATAGGTATAAATATTAGGAGTAATATTTATACCGGATTGACCCGCTATGAGAATACTACATAGTATGTTATGCAAAGTGTCATAAGTTATTCTCATGGTGATAATGGTGTATTACCACCCTTCGACCTGAAACCACTATGGACCCTAGATGTAGAGTCGGGTGCTTTATTGCTGATCAAACATTATCCGTAACTGGATGATCATAAAGACAGTTGATGGGCACTCCACGAAGCATGCTGAGGGACATGAGTGTCCTAGATGGAATTTGCCAATCCTGCATAACAGGAGAAATGTCTAAGGGCCCAATATTGAACTGGACAAGGATGACACAGTGTATGCCTTGTGTTCAATATAGACATAGGGGCAAAAAGGGTAATTGTACAAACATATATTATCACGGAAAAGGTTTTGTCAGATCACATGACATTTTCGTGACTTGGGTAGCAGTGATGTGTTGCTAGATACCGCTTACTGTTTATTATGTTAAATATATATAATTTAATATAATTACCAACGTTACGAAATCCTACAGGGTCACACACATAAGGACAGTTTGATGAGAGATAGAGAAATCAAAGGAACACCGTAAGGTACGGTGCACTTAAGTGAAAAATAGAAATTCGGATAATATAATAATAATTATTGTTATTTTATAATGGTTATAAAATAATAATAAAATAAATATATTTATTATAATAATAGTTATTATAATAATATATAATATTATTATGGATCATGTGAATTAGGGTTTTAGCCCGCAGCCCACAAGAGAGTCTATAAAAGGAACCCTTGTGATGAAGCTTTCACTTGATGCAATTTCGTTTTGATTCTCTTTTCTCACTCAAATAATTCCGTTCGTAAGCAGCTAGCACTGTGACCGGAAGCTGTTCGTGTGGACTGAGTAGAGGCGTTGCACTTCATCAACGCTTGTGATCGCTGCATCAAAGATCTGAATCGCCACAAAGAGGTAACGATTCTATCACTGACCATGCTCATTCGTGAGGATCACTAAAGGAAAATTTTTGTTTTCCGCTGCGTTTAGATCGCAATTTTCCTTCAGTGGTATCAGAGCCACTTACGAAACCATGGATCTGATAGCTGTTAAATTTCCGTCTTTTCTGTATTTGATTCGATTAAAACACAGAATGAATTTAACAATAAACGATTAATTAAATTTGGCATCTGTTGTGTACGATTTGGATGATTGATGTTGATTATGCTTCGGAATCCGACATTAGTATGGTGAAGTTGTGCGATACATTGATCATCCATAGGTTACACAATTAGATCGATCACTTTTATATAAGATATAAGAAATTCTGATGCAAAGATGGTATATGGGATATACTGTTTTGATTTCATCCATTCAATCACATAAGGATTGTAATTCTTTTGAAAGATCATCACTTTCATTCGCTTCGGAATCCGACGTTAGTATGGTGAAGCAATGATATGTTGATCTATCATATTGAGTTATCAATCGAGTTGTGTTTGACGGCATGAAATTGTTGCATTAGGATTAATGGCAGTACAAGTGTTGTATTGCCGCAGACTTTTCCGGTTGGGATTGTAAATGCACAAAAGTTGTGCAGGAAACGACGTGAAATACAATGAAGTGTTCATAAAAATTTTCGCTGGGGCGCTGCCCCTAACAACCCCGCAAGGGGGCGCTGCCCCCTTGACCCCCGTCCGCTGATCGGTCAGCGGAACCACCGTCCGCTGACCGGGCAGCGGAACCCCCGGCTAAGTCTGCAAAGTGTGATCAATCAGTCGAAATTTAATTTAGTTTATTTAATTATCGGAATTTTAAACTAATAATAAAAGTGTGTTTATTATTATTTATTTGTGGTGATCAGTTATGGCCTTAGTTTTGTTTTGGGATTTTTGAATACGGCCTGCGTGTCGTGCCTCTCTCTCAATCTCTTTATGTAACTTCTTTTCTCATCTCACTCCCTCGTATGTAAAACGAGTTTTCTTATATGTAATGTAATATTATGTTATGAAAAAAAAAAAGGAAGTATTCAATATTAAAGGAGGATAACCTTGGAGATCATGCTTGGAGAAGCTTAGATCGTTATTAGGTTAGCTTAGGTTCTCTCATTGGCTTGAGAGAACAATTGCGTTAGGGGCCATAATTGTATCTTTTTATATGTATGTTGATGCATGTACTTGTATGTTGATGCATGTGAGAGACGTTTTGCATGTTAAGCCGGTGAGATCAAACTAATAACAAATTCCCTCAAAATTAAATATTAAGTTTATGCTTTCCAATTTTTAGCACTCATCAAGACTAGTATCGAGCATTGTAGGTTTCGCCTACGCGAGGTGCATGTTCTATATTAGTAAGGTGTGATGGGATAATTGTAATATCCAATTGCTAAAACAATGGGTCAAACTTAACTAAACAAATTATAATAAGATTATATATGTTTAGAAGCAAGAATTGGGAATGATTCATGTGATGGATCAGAATAAGGAGTTATTCACCCAATTGAAAATATTCGAGAGTTGTATGAGATACAATTGGAAGGAGTTCCTACCTAAATAACTTAGTTTTGTGTAATCAGCCTAACGCTGACTTAAAACAAAGTGAAACATGGATCTCGACCCACTAGAAAGTCTTCCAACGGGATTTTCCGAATCAAATGATGAGGGTCATTTGTTTTGAATAAAATAGTGGGAGCATATTTGATTAAAGGCCTAATTAAATATGTTATTTTAATGATACTTATATTTTCATATTTCTCTTGTAGATTACCATGACAACAAACACATCGAACAATATTTTGCGATCCATCCTAGATAAGGAAAAATTGTCTGGGACAAATTTCCTGGATTGGCACCGTAATCTGAGGATTGTCCTCAAGCACGATAAGAAGCTGTATGTCTTGGAGACACCAGTTC